TATTTTCAAATTTATTGTATTTTTTTTAGCGTTATTAGTTTATTGTATTAATTAATTGGTGCAGATTAGTTAATTAAATTGTTAAAATGATCCAAAAATTAATAATTAAAAAATATGTGTTCACCTAATTTTCTACCCGATTTCTTGTCCGATTGTTTTTGACGAAAAATATGTATTTATATTGAAACCTATTTGTATCTTAATTAGATTCCATAAGATATTACAATTATCGATTAGTTAAAGGACAATTTCACTTTGCATCCTAAAAGATTTAAAAAAATTTATTTTATAATTTTAAAAATTAAATTTTGTAAATTGCACCATTAATATATTTAAAATATTATAATGTAGTCTTTCAATTAATTTTTATTACTTATTTTTATCAAATATCACCTATTAATATTATCACGATGAGTAATAGAAAGAATATATTGCATAACTTTTAATATTTTTAGGGTATAATATAAAAAATTTAATCTTTAAAAGTTTAAATAATTTTTTTTTAAATTTTCAAATACAAAGTGCAATTCGTCCATTAGTTAGCCAACGATGTTATTCTGACCAAGATTTTTTATCGACTTTTTATTTGATGTGACATAGTTTTTATTATTATCAAATAAGTGAATCTCATTAATATTTAATAATAAAAATTAGTAAAAATTAGAACTGAGTCCTCCTAGATGGACTTATAATGACTTGAGTCCGTAAAAAAAATTTATTTGAGGGTAAGTCCGTTTTTGATCTCATTAGTATGAAATTAAATCCACTTTTTTTTTTTTAAATTTTAAAAATACCCTTAAAAATGTTGATTTGGTTAGTTATGGAAAGTTGAATGTTATTATTTTAATGATATATATATATATATATAGTCCTAACCTATATATAGATATAGATAGATATAAGAGATAAATTTTTTTAATGTTATTCAAACTCTTAAAATTTAGGAATTTTTAATTTTTAGTTTTATTTCATTTCTAAAGGTAAGTCTGGTAAAATTCACAAAAAACGAACTTTATAACATATAAATTTTTTTGACGAACTTAAATCCAAATAAGTTCATAGAGATAAAGATCGGTCTTTAAATTTTCTTAAAAATTATACTAGACCATTTAAGATGAAAAATTTAATAAAAAAATTAATATGCATATACACTATAAAGGGACCTCTCTCTCTCTGGTCTGTGGTTGAAAGCTGGATTCCTCCAAATCAGAATTAGAAGATGATTTCTTCCGGGCCGAAGTTCCTACCTTCAGCTGCGCTTTCTCTCTTCTGCTGGCTTAGCTTCCTTGCACTCTTTTTGTTTCGGAACTCCAGTGCTCAAAACGGCACTCTTGATCCATCTGAAGGTGCCCTCTTCTCTCTCTCTATACATATATTTATATGTACATATGCATACATACATACATATTGTATATAAAGATATTCGATGTGGGCTAGGAATTTAACTTGGGTATAGCTTCGGACGTAGAATTTTCTTGATCAATTTAGAACGTTAACTAATCAAAGTTCTGATTTCGATGATAGAACTTCATGTTGCTTCCTTCTGAGTTGCTTGAAACAATCTTTCATTTCATATCCAGCAGTTTCTCGTTGCATTCAAGTGTGGAGTTCTTATACTGTGTACATCCCATATGGGAGGGATAATTAACTTTTGTAAGCATATTAGTTTAAAATTTTCAAGATTTTTGTTTATACTTTCGGCTAAACAAAGATTTTTGTATATAAAGATTTATGTTGTGTCAGTCTATCCTTAGCCAAATTGAGTCAACCCTTTAGGTTGGTGGATTTTAAGTTGGTGTGAAATCTCATAAGGTGATGATCTGTATACGAAAGACGCCTCCACTATGAGACCTACAAATGAAAATGGGACAAACCATTATTGAGGGCCCCCCATCCATTATTTCCCGATGGCCACCTTCTTCTTCCTTCTAGTTTATTGGTCAAATAATTTATAAACATATCTCTTAACATTACCTCAGCTCCTTTGGAGAGATTCAAGTACGCGCTACGCTTACATATGGCTTTCTTCAAAAACAATGACACTGCAACCACCGAAGTCAAAAGAAATCAACTTGAAATGCAATGTCAAAATAATTAGGTCAATAATATTGGGTGTGGCTATTATCAAACTGTTAAGTTCATTTCTTTTTATATTTACCCCATTAGTAACTAAGCTCATTTTATATTATATACATCATTTTAATAAATAAGTCAACATTATATCTTTTCACAATTAAAGTTTCATTCATTAACTCATTTTGTACATTCACAAATACACTTTTTCAATCTGAATTAATGATGCACAAAATAGAGTTATGCACGATTAACAGTCGAGTGAATGATGCAGGAGAATTAATGAAATAATTAATAAAGCAATCAATGGCAAACAGGTAAATATTGGGTCAACACACATATATATAGTGGTTTGGTTAGGGTGACATATTCCACTCTAAGAAACGGCAACAGTAACCAGTGGTCTTTATTGATGAAATAGTAAGTGAGAGAGTGCAAATGTTAGCTCTGTGAGAGATATAATAGGTAGGAGAGAAAAAGTTATGTAAAGGGTGTGTAGAGAGGTGCCCTCTCATGTAGACAGAGTTTACAATTTATAAGTATACAACCTTGGTTGAAGCGGTGAAGTGAGGGTAAAGACACTAGTCCTTTGAGGAGGATAGCTACAAATGGTAAGTACAATTAAAGATTGTCTTGATCTTCAAGAGTGACTATCCCGATGATTGCTCTTCACGTGCTCTAATCTTCTTGAACTCTTTGAACCTTGGGCTGGATTGAATTCACGAATTGGGCTTTACCTGTCTTTTAGCTAATTTGGGCTTACTTGAATTATTGAGCCTGAACCAGTTAGATTTGGGCTCATCATGAATTTCTCTAGCGAGATACATGTTAGTATTAGTTTTCGATTTAATTTTATGTTTAATTTCATTTATACTGTATGAATTTTCATTATTTTTTTTGTATTTTGGTACCTTTTTCAAGTTTAATAATTTCTAATTTAGGGTTTCTATGTGTGTGTATGTGTATGCATCATATTAGTTATTACAAGTTTGCAACAAGGAAAAATGGTTTATTCATTGTGTTATGGTATTAAGATTGTTTTGGTTAACTTTGACTTCCTTATAGAATAGTCAAATTGATTCTCAAGATGTTTCTGAAACCCTAATTCGTTGTCTAGACTAAATTTTTGATCGTTGTCTAGACTAAATTGGAAAAGCATGTATTTAGCTTAAGCTGTGGACATGGAAGCAACATTGTCCTTGTGGTTGCCAAAAATACGTTGCCCGAAGTCTGAAATTATCATAGGGGACCCTTGCCAAGAGGCATCTTTGGCTCTCAACCGGGCTGCTCCTTCAACTTGGGAGATATCAGACACCTTAGGGTGGTTGTCGGATTCTTGGAGAAATCCAATATTGAAAAAGTACTTTTTTGAATTTATGAGGAAATAGTAAATGAAACCCTAATTATGAGAAGATATAAGATGATCTTACTTATTAAAAGGGTGTAGATAGTAATAGGTGAATTTAGTTATTAATTGGGGGGATATAGAAAGGGTGGATTTAGTAATTTAATAATAGAGATGTTAATGAGATAAAAATGAATATTTGTGGGGAGAGAGTAGCCCCACCCATTAACATCTCTTTCTAAAAAGATTTAGAATTTTAATTTAAGTCTATTGAAAATATAGATTGATTCGAAATCTCAAGGGCATACTCAGTAATTTTGTCAAACTATAAGGGTAGAGTATAATAAATATTAAAAAATAAATAAATATTAAACCTCAAGGGAATATTCTAAAATTTGTTCATTGTAGCTCTTTGTATCAATGACTCAAATTTGAGTCCAGATTGGAGATAGTCTAAGTCCCACTTACCCATTTCATTCACTCCTCTCCCCTACTCTCATTACAACTACTATTTAAACGCACTAAAATCACAAATTCTCTAAATTCTCCTAATTGTTCTGTAGTTCTATAGAACAATAATTAGAATACAATTTATCAATGATTTACACAAGTAGTAGTATCACAAAAACAAGTTATACAAAATTGGCCTCCACACCTATCAATAGAGATGGAGCAGGCCATTGAGGTCCCCTCATCTGTCATTTTCATTTCTCGGTGGCCATCTTATATATATATATATTTTATTAGTCAGATTCCAACATTAGCTCAGCTGTCACCCTGTCAGCAGCCTCGGTTGCTTTGGAAAGTTTGTGCTATACATTTAAATAGTGCATTTAAGTAATCATAATTTCCAAACAATAACACCTTTACAGTCAAATTGGGGAAAGTTAAAAAATCTCGTCACATGGGTATCAACTTTTAAAAATTAAAACGTAATATCCACTTGTTTGAGTCAAATGGCACTTTACTGCCCCTAAAAAATTCTAAAATTTTTAATCTGCCTCTTGAAGATTAAAAGGTCCTACATTATACCCTGAATATTTTGAAAATAATAGCAATTTGATCCAAAAGTAAGACACTATTTTTCCTTTCTATGTGTATAACATTGTTGTATGGAGGGACAAAAAACCAAACGCCATATGGCTTTAGAGGCATATTCTTATCATTTGCAAAAATATTGAAGTACAATGCCTCTAAAGCCATGTGATGTCTTAAATTTTTTGAAGTCTTTCAAAGAATACAATGTGATGTATCACAGCTTGAGGTTGAGGTATACATATATAGGTTGAATATGGGCTTTTACTTCCAGATTTGATCTATAGATTGGAGAGTTTGGTCTCTATAGCATATGTAAATACAACAACTCTGAGAAAACTTAGAAAATTTCTTTGCTATTTTTTATAGTGAAGAAATCCCCGTACAAGGCAAATATAAGATCCCAATACAAGGTAAAAAGCATAAATTTGTTTTTCAAAATTGAGTAGTTTACACTATGAACAAACAAATTCACCAGACATAACATAATGTAATGCTGAACATATTAATATATGTGCATGACAGTGATATTGTAGTAAACTGATTAATGATGGGCATAACATCTGAAGGAAGCGAATGTGTTAGGATTTCAAAACTCAGCAATAACAAGAAAGAATATATGCCTGTGGAACCCAACTTTTGTACTGTTGTGCGTAAGAGTTCTACTATTGTCCTCAACCTTCCCCCCCCCCCTTTCCCCCACCAAAAACACCCATCACCTAAAAAAAAAGACATGATGGTTTGGAGAAAATAATGCAACGTGCAGAATTACTGGATGACCCAAAGTCAAAGACTAAATTCAAACACCACATCAAAACGGTCTAATAACAATTCTCGTTTTTTCCTCCGAAAAAACAAAATTATTTTTGTATGAGACCAATGTAGAGTGATCTTGAATACAAACACAATTTCCTATGTTATAGTGATGATATTGTGTTTGTTGGAACATTGTGGTGAAACAGCAAGAGCATTGAACTCTTTATTCCAACAATGGGATGCTCAACCCCCAGCAGGATTGTGGAACATAAGTGGAGAGCCATGCACTGGAACTTCCATCAATACAACAGAGTTGGAGGATCCAATAAATAATCCATCCATCAAATGCGATTGTAACTTCGAAAATGGCACCACCTGCCACATCATTCAAATGTAAGTCCTATTTCTGTCTTATTTCTTAAGTTGTTCAATGAATTATATTAAAGCATCCAATATTTCATATTTCATGACAAAATTTTGACAAATGTATGTGCTTTGCCATGGGTAACTAATGAAATTCGTTGTATATAATATAACCCATCACGGCTGTTTGGATGACAAAGTTTCCGTGGTTAATATATTGACATTTCTAGTTCGAGTCTCATAAGGGACGTCGTATTGCCCCATGGAAATGTCTTAAAGGTAATTGTGAGCATATTGAGTTTACTTAATATTCACAAAGTCAAAAAAGATGCATGATTATTATGGTTCACAGTTATTAATAAATAAACAGTTCTATATAGTTTGTAACTAATGATTTTTAAAAGTAATAGCACCATTATGTGGTGCGCATTATTCTGACTAAGGTTGGGCTGGTAGGGAAATAACGCTTATTTGGCGGGTAAGGACTACTTCATCGTAGCTAGCTATCTAAGTATTTACCTTAAACTTTTTTCATTAGCAAAACAAGAGAAACACTTGGCACATATAATGTTTGCAGATGGAAATCATTAGTAAGATTGATATTATTTAGTTTGTAAAGAAAGAAACCTGAAATTAACGACTTAACCATATATACATCCTGAAATTGTATGTATATGTATTATATTTGTGTGGAAAGTTGTTGTAAATGAGCAGTTGTTTTCGCAAATTGATATTATCAACAAGAAGCTAAAACTTCTACACCGATACCTTAAAGGTAATCATTTAGTATGAAAAAATGTGTTCCCAGTTCCATAACTGAGTGTTCATGTTCTTTAAATTTATGACTGCCATGTAACTTCAAGACCATATGCAATCACCCTTAAAGCATGTGAATTGAATCAAAAAATCATCTTGTGGGGACTTGAGCTCAAAATTGTAAAATATTAACCACTAAAATCTAGTTATTCCACATATCATACCAGGTTAAAAAAAACCCAATTATAAGTGTCCTACTGTCACAAAGTTCTTTGACAAGACAGTTAGAAAGAGGTCAATTCCAGTAGTGACTTGCAATATACAATCTATAAAAAACATTAATTTTGACCAACCTTAATTTTATACTAAAAGATATACTCTGTATTATGAATAGGCACCGAGGAATTTATTTTTCTATAATTTGTTTATTTTTGTTCAAATTGAAGGGGGAAAAAAGAAATGGGAATACAAAAAAGCTGGAAAAAAAAAGAAATGGTTGTGTCCAGAATTTGTATTGAAAATTCATAATTGTACCTAATGGTTGTGTACCTCATATGAGCCGACATTTGGTTGCATCATGACCTTCTTCTTTTTTTCCTAGTGTGAAAGTATAGGGTCAAAAAAAACATCAACAATAAATGACATATTCTTTGTTGGATTATAAATGTTTGTAATCCAGGAGGGTATACGGTCAGAACACTCGAGGAGTAATTCCTGAAGTGCTTACCGCTTTCACTTACCTCGAGTTCTTGTATGGATTCTCTCTCTCTCTCTCTCTCTCTCTCTCTCTCTCTCTGTTACATGAGCATGAGTTCCAAGGCAATTATTCAGCGACATGCTTATATTTCACTAAATTTCTAGCTAACTTGTTTTGGGTGAATAGCACTTGATCCCTCAAATTTTTCCGTTAAAATTCATCTTTTTTCGTGTACAAATCAAAAGGCACACATTGCACCATGAATTTCTCTAATAGCAGTAGCAATGTGTCCCAAAAGCAACATGCTGTTTGGCTGCAACATACAATGAATCTCTTGGCACATTCTGTCCTATAAGGAAAACTACATGTTGCTTTCGGGGCACATTACTACCATTTAAAAGAATTTAATGTGTAGTATATTTCAGTGGCATTTTGTCCTATTTTTTATTCAGATGTTAAACTTTGGTTTTTTTTTCCACTTTCAGGAAAATCGATCAAAATTCCCATAGAGGGCCCTTGCCAGCGTTCATTGGAAACTTAACTACGTTAAAATTTTGTAAGTTCTGGATGTTTACTGTTTTGTTAGACATCTTTAGATGAGGCAACAAGTACAACGCCCGACTTGATCATAAAATTGAATTAAACGAGTCTAGTTGTTAGTTGATACTAGATCATCTCGTCCAACCTATCATATATAATAAAATAAAAATAATTCTAAGTTATAATGAGTATCTTGAAAAATTATAAAAATATACAAATAGCATACTTTATGTTAAATACATTAAATAAAAATATATTTTTGCACAAAATATTTCTGCACTTTAAATAAAAACATATTTCGGCTTGGCTTGAGCTCACTCATTTTGTAAAATGAGCTAACTCTGCACAAAATATTAGTCTCATTTTTGTATCCGAGCCGAGTTCGAACTATTTGCGAGCCGGCTCGGTTTTTATACTTGTGCAACATATTTCTATAAATTATTAAAAATATCAATATTTCTTTTATAAATTTAGCAAATATGTAATCTATTTTAAACGACTCATATCAAGTCTACATCTATATAGCCAAGGATCAAAATATCGTTTAGAACGGTCGAAAGGTTCGAAATATTTCCGTTTTCAAGGAGACCGAAATGAAATAATTATGAAATCGAAATTCTGATATTTCGAGGTATTCCGTAATGTTTTTAAATGTATTATAATATTTTAATACATTTGCACAATTATTTTAGAATTTTTTAAGGTATTTTAAGATATTTTCATCAATGTTTTAGAAAAATAATTCTTAAATTTTTAATTTTTTCATTATGTTTCTGAAACGAGTCGAAACGCTTCCGAAATACGTCGAAACATTTCCGTTTCCTAAGTGACCGAAACAATACACTGAAACGATATTTTGATCCTTATATATAGCCTGCACACTTTTCTTTTTGGAAAACTCCATCACGTGCTCTTCTCTCTCCACGCCTTGAGCCATAAACCCTCCCTAATCCCTATCCCCTTCTTTCGGCCAGCCTCTCTCTCTCTTTCTCTTCACTTCTTCCTCACTCTTATGCAGTTCATCTTTGCGTATCTTGATCTCCCAACGCCACCATCCTCGCGCTTCAACCCACCCCAGATCTAACCCCACTAAGTGGGTATTATGATTATCAACTCCGCCACTCTTTCTTCTACCCTTGGGCCTCAACCCAAGCCCTAGATCTACATCCACTAAGTAGGTATTATGATTATTGTCATCTAGGGTCATCCCAAGGTGCATATTTATATATTTAATTTGTGATTTTAGGATTATTTGCTTTCTTGGGTTAATGGTCAAGTCTTTGAGATTTACAAATTTGTATATTTAGGGATCGTTTGGTAACTTTTTTGTTTTTACGTCTTAAAAAACAAAAAACAGAGACACTTTTTTATCTCTGTTTTGTGGTAAAAATTGAAACATGTTTGGTAGTCATTTTTGTCTATCAAATTATGAGAATAAAAACATAAAACATGTTTGATAACTAGCTTAAATTTTATCCTAAATATGTACCTTATTTTTTGTTTTCAAACAAATCAACACTTTATTTCATGAAAAATAATTTACAACCATGAATTAAAGACTTTCAACAAAGCACCACAATCTTGCACAACCAGATTTTCGAAAAAATTAGCCATGAAATTTGCCTCCTTATACACATACCCAAGCTGATATTGTAAGAACACCTAAATGAGGAACTCAACTCACCCAAAATGCCTTAACCTGCACCTTACCGAAATCAATCCCAAAATCAGACAACCTAAATAAAATACAAATATACGTTATATTATATCAAAATACAAATCCAAACATTCCTTAAACCAAAATATCCACTAATTCATCAAAGAACATCTAAAGAAAGATAGTTATGTTACATAAGTCAGTAATCACATTCATAAATCATAGTGTCCAGCATACAACCCCTAAGTTCAGACATTAATTAGTCATATCACTTAACTAAAATTTCAATAATTAATACAAATACTACAAACAATAATGCACAAATAAAAATCAAATTACATCCACAACAAGCAAGCATGAAAATAGTAATTCATTTATTCTCTCTCCATCTTGACTGGGTTTGATTAATCACATGCTGTTCATTTGTAATTGTGTTGTACTCATCAACCCATATGAAACAATTATCATGCTCACGCCATCGTGGACAATGATAAAAAGCTCGTCCATTGTTCCATTGTTTCGTTTGGTCCTTGTGACCAAAATATTCATGTTCCCGGATCCACATGAACATGGAGGGCCAATACGTGTCATTATAGCAAACCTAATTACATTAACATTGAGTAAAAATTAGTCATATAAACATTAAAATGAATATAACAATGCAAATATTTTTGTAACGCCCCCAAAAGTCACCTTGGACGGCATTACAATCTAAAAATCATTCACATCACAAGAGCAACTAATAAGATCCATAAATAAAAATAATTTCATTCTCATACATAATATCTACAACATTATTCCAAAAGAATATGTCACCTCATGACCATTACATCTAAAAAAATATGTTGAACTATAGCAATTACACCTTAATAGAATCAAATTTGAACTTTGCAGCGAAATAACAAAATATTAGACTTCACATAGTTTCAAAAGGAATTTTCTAGTCTATCACGTAGGAGAGTATAGCCTTAAACATCCACCTCGGGATCCATGTGTCCATCTAGTGGAACTTCCCAATGTACCGGCTCATCGACTCCGAGCTCCTGCTCTTGTACAAAATCTGAAAAATATATTGTTTGTAGGGGGTGTGCACTAAGTTCTGTAGCAATATCCTCCCAAACTCGAACAAGGTTTAAAAAAAAATATAAAACAGTTCGGTCTCACTTTTCAAAATAGCATATATAACTTGAAATAAAATAGTGATAATTTATTTGATCTCAAGTTAACTCAATAGCGATAATTTAAATGAAAGGAATAAGCATGTCGGAGTAATAAAAATCAAATAATCATTCAATAATATCATCCCATATTCTCATGTATGTTGGTTGCTTCTCATGAATTTATACCACGATTCTACCTCGTTCACCCTGTTAGAGTATTCATATATTCATAATAAGGGTAGTTTAGGCATTCTCTTTATGTTGTGTTGTCCTACTATATAAGGGTTACTTTATGTATTTCTAGGTTAAGCGGTGTATTACAGACTTGCTCTTGGTTCAATACATTTCACTCTTTCTCTTCTCTATGATTAATTCCATCATGGTATCAGAGCCTAAAACCTAAGACATCAGTAGGAAACAATTTTTTTTTTTTTTACCTTCTCTTTTCTGGACTGCTGGAGAATGACGTCAGCATCATCGGTGATGATGTCATCTTTTTCCGATCGTGAAGATCACCATCAAGCTCGAAATTGCATGGGTTTTCTATTGGTATGATTTGTTTTCGACTTTGAGCACATCTCGTAGGTGTTTCTATTTTTTGAATATTTTCGGGCCAAATTTTTGAATTTCTTCAATATGTTGAAATAAGGGTTTTTTGCTGTAATTTTTGGTTCAAATCTTTTCTAAGAGGCACGACTAAGCCTTCTGGGTCACTTCTTGAGAGACTCAAATCTTTTGAATAATATTTCGGCTTGATTTTGGACAACCGAAGGCTTCGGTATGTCTGGTTGGCTTCGGCAGTAAGGTTTGTTGGCTTCGACAGTGAGGTCTGGTGCAGTGGGCAATCTGGTTGGCTTTGGCAGTGAGGTTGGTTGGCTTCGGCAGTGAGGTTGTGCTTCAGTAGTGTTCCTTCTGTGGTGCTGTTTGGTATTTGGTGACTTCGGCAGTGTTCTTTGTTGGTGCTATTTGATATTTGGTACTATTGTTTTATTTGTTGATTGTTGTTCTGGGTTCTGACTGTGGATTGTTCCTTTGGTGTTATTGTGTTGTTTGGTGATTGCTGGGGTTTTGATTATTTTAATTTTGACAACAATGGCAAGTGGAAATTCTGACTCACTTCAAGCCATTAGTGTGAGATTACTAGGTGAAAATTATGTTTATTGGGCATATGTTAAGAAAAAATTTTTAATGGGAAAAGATATGTGGAATTATGTTAGTGGTGTTGCACAAGCTCCAACTAATATTAAGGCCGAAGATTATGTTTCTTTGAAGAGCATTTGAGATATCAACAATGCAAAAATTATCACGTGGATTAATAACTCCGTTGATTAGACCATTGTGGTTCATCTATTCAAGTTTGACACCGCTAAGGAAATATGAGATTATTTGGCCACACTTTTTGTCCAGTCTAATTTTGCAAAGAGGTATCAGCTAGAGCACGAGATTCACGATGCGGGTCAAGGGGACAAAAATATACAAGAATTTTATTCAGTTATGACTGGCTTCTGGGATCAGCTAGCACTTACTGAACCCACTGAGTTGAGCACTAATCTGACATATCGCACCTTCAGAGAGGAACAGAGGCTGGTGCAATTCTTGATGGCCCTTAGAGATGACTTCGAGGGACTTCGTGGTTCCATTCTTCATCGTCATCCACCTCCCTCAGTGGATGTCGTTGTTAAAAAACTCTTAGCTGAAGAGATTCGCCTTAAAACCCTTTCTGGAAAGGGTATTATTCCACTGCCGAATCAGACTGTGTTGGCTGTTCCTTCTAAAGTGACCTCTAATTCTCAAAATAAATATCAAGATTGAGTTGCTTCTGATGAGTGTAATTTCTGTCATGAAAAGGGTCACTGGAAGGCCCAATGTCCCAAGTTGATGAACAAGAATGCAAGAGGGTCTCAACATCAGCCATTTAAGCCCAGAGATCGTCACACAGCAGCCGTAGCACAGCCAGTGGATGAGTCAGCCTCATCAGCTCCCAGCCTGACTATGCTTGCAGACCAATTACAGCAGCTTCTCTCTCTTTATCAGCCTGGTGCTCTAACAGTTTCTCCCACTATAGGTTCGTTCTGCTCAGGTCCTTTAGGTATCCCTCAAACCGCCTGGGTGTTTGACTCAGGTGCCACACATTATATGACTAGTGACTCTTCTTTATTTGCATCTATTGTCTCTCCTCCATCTTTGTATGTACTTGCTGCCAATGGTTCTCAAATGTCATTAGTTGGTGTTGGGACAATTAT